GGGTCGCTAACATTACGTTGTAAGCTGCATAATGACCCACACTGGTTGCACAATTGTCCTATCTGTAACAGTATACTACCCCTGGGGCAGGGCGGTGATGTAGGGGGACGGGGTAGTGATTGAGTGCGTGTCTGTGTGTGCATGTGAGTCTGCGTGTGCTTGTGTGTGACAGCGCCCAGTGTTTGCGCGTGCATCTGTGTGCACAATGGAATTCTTTCAGCGTCATGAAAAAAAATGATTTTTTATCGTTCATCTCTTTATGGGTTGGGGTTCTAAGGATCATGGTCAGTAGGGGAGTCAAACATATGAGCCTTCTGTAGTAGGGATGTGAGTCAAACACATGAACCTTCTGTAGTAGGGATGTTAGTCAAACACATGAACCTTCTGTAGTAGGGATGTTAGTCAAACACATGAACCTTCTGTAGTAGGGGTGTTAGTCAAACACATGAACCTTCTGTAGTAAGGGTGTTAGTCAAACACATGAACCTTCTGTAGTAGGGGTGTTAGTCAAACACATGAGCCTTCTGTAGTAAGAGTGTTAGTCAAACACATGAGCCTTCTGTAGTAAGAGTGTTAGTCAAACACATGAGCCTTCTGTAGTAGGGATGTTAGTCCAACACATGAACCTTCTGTAGTAGGGATGTTAGTCAAACACATGAACCTTCTGTAGTAGGGATGTTAGTCAAACACATGAACCTTCAGTAGGGATGTTAGTCACATGAACCTTCTGTAGTAGGGATGTTAGTCAAACACATGAACCTTCTGTAGTAGGGATGTTAGTCAAACACATGAACCTTCTGTAGTAGGGATGTTAGTCAAACACATGAACCTTCTGTAGTAGGGATGTTAGTCAAAACATGAACCTTCTGTAGTAGGGATGTTAGTCAAACATAACCTTCTGTAGTAGGGGTGTTAGTCAAACACATGAACCTTCTGTAGTAGGGTGTTAGTCAAACACATGAACCTTCTGTAGTAGGGGTGTTAGTCAAACACATGAACCTTCTGTAGTAGGGATGTTAGTCAAACACATGAACCTTCTGTAGTAGGGATGTTAGTCAAACACATGAACCTTCTGTAGTAGGGATGTTAGTCAAACACATGAACCTTCTGTAGTAGGGATGTTAGTCAAACACATGAACCTTCTGTAGTAGGGATGTTAGTCAAACACATGAACCTTCTGTAGTAGGGATGTTAGTCAAACACATGAACCTTCTGTAGTAGGGATGTTAGTCAAACACATGAACCTTCTGTAGTAGGGATGTTAGTCAAACACATGAACCTTCTGTAGTAGGGATGTTAGTCAACACATAAACCTTCTGTAGTAGGGATGTTAGTCAAACACATGAACCTTCTGTAGTAGGGATGTCAGTCAAACACATGAACCTTCTGTAGTAAGGATGTTAGTCAAACACATGAACCTTCTGTAGTAGGGGTGTTAGTCAAACACATGAGCCTTCTGTAGTAGGGATGTTAGTCAAACACAAATCTTCTGTGGTAGGGGTGTTAGTCAAACACATGAGCCTTCTGTAGTAGGGATGCTAGTCAAACACATAAACCTTCCGTGGTAGGGGTGTTAGTCAAACACATGAGCCTTCTGTAGTAGGGATGTTAGTAAAACACATGAACCTTCTGTATTTGGGATTTTAGTCAAATATATAGATACACATGTACTCTGCCTGTGGATTTCAACCAGGTAGGGTGTACAGGTATGTGTACAGCACCAATATCTACGTTTATCAAGTTACTTTGCACATGAAAAGCATTATTGACTTACTGATATAATGACACATAACAAATAATTGGACAGCAAATAACAGCTGATGTTTATGGCATATAAGCTGATATGTACGAAGGCCTTATAAAGACTTAAACACCCTGTTGTCAGTTATTACACCCACTTGGACATTGAACACTGTATGGACGTGTTTACGTTTACATTACGTGTATTTCAGTATTGAACACTAATTTTCGTTTTCTCGAATGGCGTCACGACGTTCTTTTTTACACTTTCAAAGAAAGGTCACGAGTCTTGACGCATTGGCTAAAAATAGGGGCGACTGGAAATCCAAATACTTGTAGTAAGAAATCGATATGAAAACTGTTTAAAGATAGAGCTGACGTGCCCGGGGGAATTACGTAAATTCACGCGAAACATCACGTGACAAGACCAAACATCCCCATAAAGACTCTGCTGAAAATCACCCCAGAAATAACTTCTGAAGTTTAAACAACTTTGAGTTGTAGATTTTCAATTTAAAATCCAGTTTGAGAATTCCAAGTGTGATTTTTTTATGTGTAATAACAGAAACCCAAATATAGATTAACAACGTATTTAATATTTCTATATTGTTTGATAGAAATGCTAGCATTTGCAGTGAACGCCGCACAGACAGCATACAGACGTTGACCAAGAAACAGTCTTGATTGATGCTTGAGTTCTAAAATAGCACTTAAAGGTAAATCTTTCATTGCCTTTTTTTCATTATAAAAAATATATTCAACATTTAATGACATCACCACAGGATATGCTCCCAGGAATGACGGAGCAGTTCAGTTGACAATGTGAGCCACTTTATAGTCGACTTCATCGTTTCAGGCGCTCTGTCATCATCAGATAGTGCCGCCGTTGTTCCGCCTGTTGACACTATGTATTGGCTGATCAGAGTCGGTACCTAGTAATTACCTCTCATGCTTGCTGCTATAGCATTTACACTTACCCTATTAACCAACTTCCTCTCGTACAATACATTTAACGAACTACTTCTAGGGCTATTCCTCTTAATGAAATACCTGAGTGAAATTTAACACCGCCAATTCCAATTGTATCCATACAGATCTAATAGGACATGACCTAGTTATTGCAAGCAACAATCGTTTTACAAACAGATTAACCTGACATATTTGAATGCGTCCCCCGGGGCTGTTAAGTATTTAAATGTATTACCCCTTGAAAGGACGGTCCCGATAGCTGGTTTATTTCACGCCTGGGTGACTCTCGAGTGATTAACACCCTGCATCTTGTTAATGAGACCATTACGGTCAGGTGAGCATCGCCACAAGCGACAAATATTTTGACCTGAAGATACGATTCTGAATCTTGAACTCTAACTGCAATCTATACGTTAAGAGTAGTGTCGACAAGCACCTCTAGAGGGAAACACCAAGAGGCGGATTACACAACACCTGTATAAACAAGACGTCTCATACCTGTAATTATAACTATGTTTAGATAAGCATATATATGCATATATATGGACACATAAAAAATATTACCATTTTAGAATTGAGAGCATACAATTTTGCATCGAGGTTACATTTACCATATATGCAAGACACAAGATACAACATATAATATATTTTATTGTGCAATAGTTCCATGTAACACTGTGGCAACATTCTATAAACTATATAAACAGATAAACAATATGTGAGGATAACAATATACATATCAACATAGATATTATGTAATGACCTAGGAAAATCTATAGCTTTGTTTGAAGTCTATATACATGATTAGATATAGATTATTTACATGTTACCCTGTTTATTGTTTGGAAAAAGCGAGGGTTTTTTCCGGCTTCAAAATAAATATTTTTAGAGGAAAAGATTAAATAGGAGTGTCTTACTTCAGCATATTTACTAACAGACATCTGACAGTGTTCTTCATCCTCCTGATGAGCACTGATGACAGAGTAGTTCCTCCAAAGGTGTAAGTGGTTTGGTTCTTCAACCGAGTTTAATGTTTTGTCTGTGATCAAGCAGCCTTTGCCCAGTGAAGTTAAACAAGAACTTTTTTTATCATTCATCATTTTGTAGTATGATTCAAGTTCAATTTTCTTGAATTGAATATATTTGGTATATTGCCCAGTAGGTGGGAATTGTTGTTGGCTGGCAAAGCACAAGACAACAGATCGTGTTCGTTACAGAATTTTCGACAGAATTGTCTGGAAAAGACTCCGTCTTGTAAGTATATACGTCACTTGACATCGCTGGTAATGTTCACAGAACACACTGTAACTCATGTGGTTTCAAAAAGATGTACAAGCAGCCCGTAACAAATTTAACTGTCAAACATACCTTCCTTAAGTGGCATTCAAAAGCTGGTATGATAAAGTGGAACACTTTTTATTGTTGGACAACTGAATGCAATGCTACTGCAACAAAGAAGTTGTCTATCCATAAAAAGTGTTCCACTGGTAAACATACCATCAACGCATTGATTAAATGCATATTTTATTAGTATTTTTAGTTTATGCTGTGCTTTGTTTAAAAAATCAATTCATTAGTAATTCATACATTCTGACTTGATGAAATATAAAGAACGGTGACAGTGCATCAGTTACACGCCAGTAATATCACGGCTAAGTAGCTAGGACTTTTAGATGCCATATTTCATGTTAATGCCATGATTAATTAAAGTGATATTTGACTTCAGACGCTTCTGAAGACGTTGTCGACTCCGACCAAGGCATCATCTGCTACATCATTTGGGTCTCCATGAGCTACATTCAATAGATTGTTTAATCAACAGACAGATGGGCGAGTAACGTCACGAATCTGACCCCCAGCCGTTGCTGTCTGTTACTGTCGGGCGGGTCGTGGTGGACCCAGACCTCATTACTGGAACTATGAAGGCGATGCTATAACAGTCCATGGAGCCTCTCTGACAGCCCATGTCCCAGATGGTGTATTAGTATCAGCCTGCATACGGTACAAGTAGCTGTGCCAGACAATGGCCGGTTACTGGGCAGTGTTGGTTGGAACCTGACCCCAACACTGGCATATCATGGCTACGGTTGACCTCTTGGCCTGACATGTAGGGAGTATTAAACGAATGAGGCGGTGTTATTTTCTCATCAGTTGGTGAAATCAATGTAGATTCCTGCCAAGTAAGGCTCATCTGACACGCTTTATCTTGATAAGTTGTCTTGAGGACAGTCGCATCATCCTTCATAGACCATAATGCTATTTCCGAGGATCAGTCACATGGTCAAGTGGAGTCTTACGTCACACCCGGAGACGAGATCGTGATCGAGCTGAATAAACCAGCCAATCGGAACGTTCGGATTTGCTGGCATCCTTCTCAGAAGAATATGACGAACACTTCAGTCATAAGCAGTAGGAAATAATATGTTTATGATTCATCTTATTACACTTTGTTTAACCTGAGACCATATACTATGGTCTCTGGTTTAACAGCCAAGCCAAGTATTCTCTGCACGGTAAACTTAGATATGATCGGTGCCAGTCTGATTATAGAGAAGTGAAGCCAGTACGCAGGAACTTGTCACCTCAAACACAAATGCGAGGCCGGCAGATGTTTCGTGCGACACGACCTTGTCGTTGCGATACTGTCAACCACTGTTTCGCCTCGAAATACACGTTGCATCAATGGCACGTGCAGGATGCAATCCGATGACCTCGCTCGTGAGGCACCGGGATGTGACGCTCCCAACATAGGCGATCTCGCGTTTTCATGAAACCAAAATAAAATTTATTTATTAATTTATGTTTTCTATTGTTGGGTGAGGTATTGGTATGGGTTGGGATGAATAATATACAATGTAGAGAAACCCATCGTATATCTTTAATTCCTGAAAGGTAAAAATATTTTTGTTAGTTGCAATGTATTTTGAAATATGATATATTTAGGGTCTACACGCCATTATGTTATTGAGCTATACTTTAGTGTGTGGATACCAAACCTATATCGTCAGGTGATAGGTCGGCCTATTTGTTCTCTTAGTGTCATACCTTCTGCTACAAACACTGCGGAAGGACAGGTGGCTTTTTAGAATGAAGCATGTAGTGGATAACACGCTCAAGTAAAATGATACATTTTATTATTGAAACATGCAGCATTCAGTCTATGTTGTAATCTAACACAGACATTGTTTAGTGAAAGCCAAGTCACGATGTGTTGATAAACACAGGCAGTTCAAAGATAAGGACCAGTGATGACCTGTACAGATAAAGTGCCATGTATATAAGTCCCGTGTATGACCTACAAGTTATCACACCTGATACGCGACCTACATGAGCACATCGTGTACATACCTTATGATAGCTAACACAAACACCCCCGTAAATATCCGGGTTGAAATTGATATTCAGCAACCCATGTTTTTCTTCTGAGGCAACTAACGGGATCTACTATAGGAATGGGTGTCATCGTACCCCAATGTACATCGATGCTCATGATATCAATCACTGGATTGTCTGGCCGAGATTCAATTATTGACAGATTGTCGTCATATGACAACAAACTAATTAAAACAAAACAACGCACCAGGTTGCCGTAGCGAACCGGTTCTTATTAAAGGATATTTATATAGCGCACATATCCACGGAACTAGTGCATGCTTCAAGCCGCTGGTATTTTTCCTTTGATCATTGGATGTCAATCTCTACGGCACATCATATTATCAATCTCAACTCCTGGGGATCATACAACTCTTGCAGGCACTAGGCGCACCGAGTTATTGTGGCTTTCCCATCCTTACGAGGTACCCATTCACAGCTGGGTGGACTGGGACACATAGTCACAGTACTTTGTCCATGTTTACTGCACGTTGCTGTACCGGCAACTGGGTGTTTGCATGTATACATGTGGCCACGATCTGGTCATATACCAACGGAATCGTGGGTTCTTTTAAGTGCACAGTGTTATGTACTGTACATGAGGGGTTGTGACGACACGGAAAGAGTTTGCACAAAAAGTTGACTCCCAAGGATTTTACACCCGGTTGCACAAAATATTGCAGCACCCATATTTGTTAACTCAACAAATTAAACCCTCCCTCCCCACTCATCCACCCCCACCACCACCACCCACCCGTACGTGGTGACTACATGTATGGCTGGCTCGGACCCTATGTTGTCGAGGTGGTCGTGTGTCTACAATGGTGGATATGGTGTTACACGTGTTAAAAGAGGTAACGACCCTGTAGTATCTCCATGGATGTAGAGCTGTGTACAAGTCAAGTCACAATCACCCACTCCTTGTGGTACTGTGGCCAGCTTGGATAATATATACATGAACTCTGACGCAAGGCAGTTTGTGTGCAATACGTGTGTCAACGAGATTAACGGTAAACATTGAACCGAGCATAACATACTCGGTGGCCTTGTAGCGATACCAGCGATTTTGTTGGTGTGTTAAGTCAAGCTGTGTCTGAGTTTTGTGTCAAACATTGATAGTCACTCCACAAACTAATTCTGTGTTGGAAAAGTAGCATGCATGCAGAATATATCACACATCTCATATGCCAAATAGGAATCTGTAAATCTATTAACACGCAATAGCGTGTCATTTGTTTCGAACGGTAAGGCGTAGTTCAAAGTAGTCTATAACAGGAGGATATATTTTTGTCGATATCTCGATTTAAACAGGGTATGTGTATTAGTTTTAATTCTACCTGAACTCGACTGTCGACTGTGTGGCTTAGGGTGGAATCCGCGGCAAGTTAACGTGAGGCGTTGAAGGTGAAGGTTTGTGTGGCTTTGTGGACTGGTCCGGACTTATCAGCCCACTTACATACCATGCCACAATTCACGTGAAAAACCGCTGTTTTTAACTCCAAACCGATATATACGTTTTAATCCCCATCAATTCAAGTTTTTTATATGGCATGGCCTGGGATCGAACCAGTTCTCCGGTCCGACGCTCAATACTCTAGACCACGGTGGTGTTCAAGGGATCTAAACACCAACATCCTGTTCTCCAGGCCGACACTCTACCCACTTGACCACTGGTCGCCAGTGTGAGGTTCCTGTTAATGTGTGGATACGTGGATGAATTCTTGCGCTTTCGAACTCTGGTTGTCCTGACTCCAAGCCATATTTACATATGTGATGGAACACACTGTAAACCAATATGCTTACCAACAGACTTAACAGCCTCTATGACCAAATGATAATGTAATGAATACATGTATATATTTTCAAGAAACTCATTTGGGCTTTGTACTTGTGTATGAATGCAGACTTGATCTCGACGCTATATGGCTGGAGTGATGCCGGTGTGACGTAAAACTCAACTCAGCTATGACCACGTACCTCCCTGGTGTACTTGTGTCGCGCGTTATCTGCATTGCTATGATTACGTGATTCTTGAAATGCTAATTCTGAGGGTATATCTACATTCCAGACCGTGGTGATCGCACCCATCTGTCGTGTACCAACAAACAGACGGACAGACGATACAGGAGCAGACGACAGATTGACGGGTGTCTTAATGGCGGGAGATGAGGCGCGTGTCTTTCTTCAGGGTTCACCGCAGCACTAATGGACATTCCGTATGTCCGCCCAGATCTCTCGGCAGTGCATGGCGTTCAGTCCAACATGTCTTGTCATGAACAGTTATCATATATATCTGTATAAATGCTGCTAGTTGTGATGTCAATCTTGGTCCATGTGTCTTTCTGAAGTGAAATTCATACGAATATTTTACAAAATATATAAAGTCTTTCTTCAATAATATTACGTTTTATCCATTTCTATGAATAGATGCTAAAAACAAGGTGTACATTTGCTACATTGGACTTGATCTCGCGCTCTGGGCAACACGAACACACATCGTGGAGAATACTAGTAGGAAGGTACCCCGCAGTTATGTCCCTTTATCAGTCTGTTCCAACTTCCAGTCCTCCTGGACTCACTTCATTGAGTATACATTGTTATCTCAGCAAGTAGAATGAACCTCTCTACATAGAGTTTGGCGACCTTACTGATTGCCATGCCAACATTGACTCTGAGACTCCCAAGCAGAAAAGCTGTCTGTCTTTAATGGTTGATTTCTTAAATATAAGATAATATCCATAACACTGACATTGATTGTGGGAACGGCTTATTATTGGTGAGAAACAGTCAACGGTAAAACCAATCCTTGTCACACAGGAACCATAACCTAATTCCCGTAAACAAGAGAACCCCGGCCAGCCGAATTGTGCACGTTCCGTCCTTCCTTCGTCCGCCTGTTCTTCCATCTCCCGCGTTACGTGCGTTAAATGTCAATATACAATACTTAAAATATATTAAGGATCATCGGTCCTTCTATCATTGATCTGTCATAGTATAGATTATTTCAATATACTATAATTAAACTACTATAGCATGACAGATGGACTATGGTAATATGAAACAATTGAGTGGTCCTTTAATTCTTCTAAATAATATAAATTACTGTCCACAATATCATGTTTTTCTTCCGAACAGATAATCATACATATATACAAGGCAACATGTCAGTTTTGCTATTTTTTCATTTGTCTGACAATATTCGCATTTGAATAAGTGTGATGTTTACCAAGCATCAAACCTTCCTTCCTGTACAGTGACAGCAGTGGAGATGACCGACGATGATGTTGAGGAAGCACCTGGCGTCGTGCCGGATGGGGACAGCGACAATGGGAAACACGTGTAGGACGTTCATCGGGTCAGTATACTTGGAGCGGAAAGTCAGCATCATAGTTCTCAGAAGTCTGATAACACGTATCCGTGCGTACATCGAGATTATCAAACAAGTCAACAGTTTATAGTCCGGTTTTAATTCGTCAAGAAGATTGTGTGATTTGACAAAGAGAATAATTTCAGAGAATATATGTCATGTGTACATCATTTGGATAATGAATAGTTTCACTGTTGTTGGACCGATGAAGGGTATTTTGGGAAGGGGTGGCTATCTATTTTCTTAGAGACATGGAACATAATGTTTTGTCTTGAAAAAAAGCAAGCTGTCATCAAGTCGTCGGTGTCACGCCCAGGAGTTAGTACCACTCGAGACCTGTCAGTCACAAATAACAACTCTACACAATGTTGGTTTTCCAGACACAGGACATGGATAATAAACTAAAAACACCGTTTCTATCAAAATAACAAAATCAACACAGAAATAAATCTATATGTCAGTCACATTACTTTTCCAAGCAGAAAGTACTGTTTGTTACGATATGTGACGTGTGTCTGGAGTCCTGGGTTTGTTATGACGACCCCAACAGCAGGATTAGCGGATTACGTAACTAAGTTAGCTGGCAGATTGTCTGAATGGCGAGGGTCTGCCGCACCACCAACAAACACTAAACAAGATATGTGAAGAAAAATCTTTTAAGCTCATTATATTCAATAAAAGAACGAGTCAGAAAGCTCTTAACATATTCTTAATATTTCGCTGCAGATTAAAAGTTAAATTGTACGCGGTTAATTGTTCCGATTCATTTGGTGTGAATATTGTTTAGTTGTTATTAACAGTAGAAATACGGCTCTTGTAAATAAGAATTTCAATTTCCAAGTAAAAGTTCATATTTATCTTATGTCTATGTATTCTAAAGATCAAGTACAATCGTAGCTTGAGATGTGGGTGTAATACGATTGATGTCCTGGTTATCCTCAGGGTCTCCCTGTATATCAACGACACGCTTGGCTGAGAGCCTGACATGCGAGTCGCCTAGTACCGAACATAAACGAAACAAGCCGAAGACGTTCGGTAGCCTCCGTAATGGTCCATATAAGGATATGTTACGGAAACTTCCTTATATGGAGTAACAAACTCCAACAGGTTTTTTAACTGTCTAACATTAATGCAAGGTTGATCTATAACTCACAAACAATCATAATGTATCAAGAACTTTTATTAGGCTATATGAAAGGATGTGTCTGGTTCACATATTGCTGCAACGTGTAATTTAACCAAGAGAGTTAGACAAAGAACTTCCCGATAGTAGGTCACGTTGTCAACTCTTTGGCTATTTTTAGAGCGTGAGAAGTGTGTTGAAGTGTGACGTAGCTGGCCCGGACCGAAAGGCGACGAATAGCACTCAGCTGACAGTCACATTCAAACTTCCACCGAGAGGAGACCGACCTACCTGAACGCTGTCAGACAAACACTCATAGAAGGCCAGTGGGGAGTAGACGTCACAGACTGGTCTCTCTCTCAGGACATACCACTGACAAGCGTGGACACTCGTAGTCAATATATAGGAATATTACACGGGACACATACGCTTTCCTCTCATTCAGTGGATATATACATGTAGGTGAGTACTCGCTATAACGCTAGTGTGAGTTGTGGTGTAAACTTATGTCGAGGACAGGGAGACCGTGTCGAAAATGTCAAATCGCGTCCCCTGTACATGCTACGGGCGTCTACAGTCGCCTAGGACATGGGGACTTGTTACTGCGCTAACTTTACATGCTCGTCCGGAAGTTTTGATGTGATACAGACACACGCTTAGTATGACATTTGTATATTGGAATGATGATATTAAGAACATATTTGACTTTGATGATGAGTTAGGTTAGGTTTGTTGTTAGATTTACTATAAAACCTAAAAGATCAAAAATAAAGTGGTTCAGTTCTAGTGACTTATGTCCCAAGCAAGCTGTCTTGTACACAGGTTTTTGCAGCTGATAACTGTTTAACACATTTTAGTATGGCTTTTGGTTTATTACTTACTATTGGAGAGTAATATTTCACAAAGCTAGTCGCTAAAGTTTAGAAGTTTTTCGATGACTTTTCAGTGTTGAGTGTTGATTATGTGGATGCGTGGTATACATGCTGGCTAGCATGCGAGCTGCTGCACAGTTACCGTGAATATCAGGGTTAGTTTGATAAGACTTGATAAATACTGAACCGACACTGGTGGGGCATCTGATAGCCCGCTACCGTGTCAGTGGTTCCAACTCAGGGTTCACCACAGAGGACCTCTGTATTTCAGGCCTTTAGGCAACTGTGTGGCCGAGTCTTGTGTTCGGGGAACCGACATAGTGTCATTTGTAGTGGTTGATGGGTTTGTGGCTGGTGCCAGACAGAAAGCCAACACAACTTTCTTTGTCGAGGACACGCCCCTTTTTCTTAGGCTACAGACAAGATATAAGTAGGTTATGTTTATAATAGAAATATAGAGATATCTCTTGAAATTCCAAATCGGCGTTAACTTACATGTAGTTCATATATGTTCAAGATTTGCTAACAGTGTTGTTATTTATTACAGATTCGGAGCCTGGTTTTCCTATTGTACACTGAGGATCTAGTACGGCTGGCTATTGATCGGTGGAGTATCTCGCCTACAGTGGAGTATAACATCTAGCTGAGTCTAGCGTGCTATGCAGAGAGGGTGCGTGTGTTAGTTCGCCCCTTTGTGCCCCACCCATCACTGCACAGCTTAGATGTCTGTTGATGTGCTACCAGTGCGTGTGGTACCTGCTCCCCCAATGAAGGAGCTACGACCCAGGAATACAAGGCCCGAGGGGGGTCGGGGACATTCTGAGGGGAATGATCTGAATCATCATTTTGATTCCAGCTGTATCATATACGACTCCATAACGGACACGACATACCTTCGTGGGAGGCTACTGGGAAGGTAGGTGACAGTCGTCATATTCACCTGTATTTTTCAGGAAAAGGGACACATACTTGTAGGTTTACAGGTGTGACGGGATGACGCTACCGCACTGTTGCTACAGTTGGATCGTGGTGGTACTGATTGTTTGGGGGAATGTGACACGTGAGTGAGATGGGCGAGTGGCTGGATGATGTAATTTGTATCCACTGTTGGTAAAGTAATGTGTATTTAGCGCTCAGGTAGACAGCACCTGTGTCGACCTACCTGTACAGGTAGAATGGCACACAGGTGGCGTTATACGTCCTGGTAGCGTTCAAGACACATTCTATGGTGTCAGTGTGTTGACACCCACCGATCAACCCCAGCCGCGACGACACAGGCCATGTAGACATCATGTACATCCGGTAGACGGGTTTACCTGTATTTACCAACGCGCGATGAGACGACTCACCTGGCTATTCCTATATACCGGAGCGCCTATTGTACACAAGAGAAAGAAATTGAATATGTTTTCTTGTAAACAAAATTCTACAGAATTTTATAATACCCAGAGAGAAAAAAATCAGAATTCTGGACATTTGTTTATTTTTAATGTCTAAATGAGACATGGGATTAAATATAGAGGTGAACTCTAAATATGTCAATATGTATACTGACTTTGGAATGATATAATGTGTACATTATTACACCGGTCGTCAACAGGGCATAAAACTTGTACGTAGGTGTTACCACTGACTGAACAACTCCTACTCAGTGATGCTGCTTGATCATAATGGTTAGTGTTCAGTATTTACAAACACACCTGCACAACTGCTCGTTAGTACATACCTCACCTGTAAAGGTAAACTGAGTCATCCCAGGTAGAAATCAATAATCTGCCTTGTGTTTGTTGGATGTGTGTGAACGACCAAACCTGTACTTGTGATGTCAGGTTGCTTGATGTTTGAGGACAAGTAGCTTGTATTTCATGCTTGAACTAAGGAGGGTCGTGTGTACTCCATCACTGGAGGCTGCCAGTTGCAAGCAGTGCTGATATCCCAACTTAAACCATGCTGATTAAAGTGTACGGAAAACGTCCTCCGGTAACCCAAGCCTCAAATTTATAAAAACCATAACCCCTCGCTGGAAGTATAAAAAACATGTATTTAAACATAGGGTTAGGTTGCCCTAACCCAGGAATCTTTGACGCAGGGCTTACACCAGGAAACATTTTGAAATTGTAGATCTTCGTGATCAAAGTCTGATATTTCACTGTTACGTCTCAAAGGTTAGACTTCGTTAATGTATTACGTGTGTGAGTTTATTCGAAATCCCTCTGGCAGGGTTCCAGCAGCCAAGGAGTGACAAGTTATGTTCTTCCTGCTTTGACATCAGCAGACACAATATTTACAAATGACTTTCTCGAAGCGACCTTATTCAATACCCCGTCCATCTGACGGTACCCCTCCTATCAATACAAGCTCTTAACTGTGTATTCACACCTGTAAGGAGCCCTGCCCTATGAGGCCGGGACAGCTATGTGGAGAAGACCCATGTATGTTTGCCCCGTCCCTGAAAGTGTTTGCCCCCCTCCTATCTGTGCACACAGCCTTGTTTGAGCGTAGGTGTGCCCCCAAATACCCCAACAAGGCCCCCCTGTACAGCGAACAGCGTTATGCACGCGGTGCATACTCTATATACCTGCAGTTGTATTATCTGTGGCCTCCAATATACCCTAGCTTCCTTTCCCTTAGTGACACAAAGTCCGCGTCACGAGATCGGGATAGCTGAAAGAGGTTGTTATGGTTGAGATATTGCTCATAATGGTCCTGGTGTGCCCTCCTGCTGCTGTCACTGTGCTGAGAACCGCTCCCTAGTCACAGGCCCGCCGAGCCGCGTTCAGCCATTAGTCCCCAGAGCAGGCTAATTGTGAACTGGTGATTAATTATCGAAATGTGCTAACTGGGAGTTGCCCTGGTTGTAATGGTACCGTTGTAATTAATCATTACTGTAATTAGAAACAGCAATTAGTCTACCATGTGCATGTGGCAGATGACAGTATGTGTTCTCCACCCGGGAACAAGGATCTGTGTCAGCACGCTGTAACACACTGGCAGATAGGTGCCATGTACACAGAGGATTGCTGATCCAATTACAAATATACACCATTGCAAATGAAATGTAGTTGATTTCCGGCGTCACTTTTCATTCTCTTATGTTGAACATTGCTTATAAAACGGCCCTGCACACTCTGAATATTCAATCAGCTCTCAAACCTTTTGATACGTGGAACAATCTGTAAAGGGGAAAGCTCGTTGCTTAGAACGGCACTGTTGTTTTACATCAGTAATGGTGACGGAGAAACAATGCGTTATGACGCGTCAGACGTTTTGATGCGCCTTTAACATTGATAATTGCTGTCTAGATTTGCTGAGGGCACGGAAGTAGTGTAACCCGCTGTGGCTGAATAAACCCAGCTGTAGGTGTGGGATGACGATAGCGACGTTTACTGAATCATCCTTCATCTCAACCGCAACCTTCTGCTGTGATATACGCCATCGTCTCCGAGCGCGCCCTATCTCATACATATGGGATGATGTTCCATCTTTACACCTCTTTGTCTAAGGCGTCGGAACCGAGTATGGAGTATATGGATGATAGGTGAACAGTTTCCTCTTGGTGGTGAAACATGTGCCCGACTCCATCACCTACACGTGTGATCAGGACGCCGGACGCCATCGGTTCAGATATAACGTTTGTGATAATAGCCTTCAATTATGTGCGAGCATTTCCCTTTAAAATACTTCCGCAAATATGAAAGCCCAAACTGGTACATATGTATGGTACAACCTAGCATGAGAAGTAAAAGTATTAAGGGAAGGTTTTGGAATGGTCTTTCTGCGATCGGAATCTGAGAAATGTCGCAGTTCATACCCCAGTGCTGGGCCGACATTCTTGTAATGGCGGCTCGAGATGTGTGATGGAAATGTCGAGATAAGATTTCTCACACAGAAACCTATTATGTTCATGTAGATTCAATCAGCCGTAGATGTTGATTGCTTTTTCGCAAACAAAGCTATTTATTTTCGATGTTATCATAAATGATTATATGCAGGAAACCTTTCTTCAGAACCTAACAAGACTTTGGCAGTACAGTTGTGGTAGACTTGGACCGCATCTGCAAAATGTAATGCTATTTGTAAGTACTATCTCAAGTATGAGCAGGGACGGAATAGGGAACCCCAGATGATCCCCTCTTGTCGGGGTCATTTCTCGTTGTATCTACCGACATCTGCTGCCAATCCTCTGCCGTATCTCATATTGGGAGACAGCATCTGTGTAGCTTGTCCTATAAATCCTGGGGAATATATCTCATATCACACAGCTTGGATAACGGGTTGGCTGCCTGTTGTAACAACAGTGTCAGAGTCGGCCTTCATGAGCACACGAGCAGTAGTAAATATGTCAGCGTAATGTGTCCACAAACATTCAACTATTACATGATGCATGCTGAGTTGACTGACTTCAGAAGATGACGGACAGACATGGGTTACATATGTGCAATAAGTTATAACCTGCCATGGACTGTGTCACAGAGTTAAATTAGTGTTAAGAGTATTATGTCACTGATGTATTTACCGATGTATTGACACGACGTCTAAATAATAATGTGATTGTTTAGTACTGCATGTTGCTGGTAACTTCATCCAGATACATGTTGGGATCTCCTTCAACAGCCATGAGAACGCTGCCTGAGCAAATACTTTATGTAGCTAGTCGCTGACAACATGTATCAGTTTACCCGTCGTCTCGACAGCTGGATGTTGACTTACATAAACCACTCCCACCATATTTATTTTCCTTATTATCCTGGCTGTCAACTGAACTGTGACGTTGTGTTTAGAGCTAGGGAATAACCATTACTTCTTCCCTGCCCCGGTCCCTGTGGTTGGCTTGTTTAATCTTACTGTGGAGAAACAATTATTGTCTTAAACAATGAGATTTCCTCAACATCAGAACAAGGATGTGATAACATGATACAACCTTCCTTGAAACTGTCAATACATTTACAATATATCATGCTACATTTTCATGTTCACACCGTGTTAACTATACTACTCAGCTTTTAATAAGCATATTCTAGGTATTTATCTGCTTAACACCATTGTGATGACTGGTACTTTGCATGTTGGCCTCAAAGCTTCTACCACACCAATATCCTCCTCAGATGTATATGCAACGGTCATGTGTGAAATGTTTCCTTGTTCGCTGTAGTTACTAGGCAGCCATGTGGCAGGCCACACACCGGAAGTCCTATGTCGATCTCACGTGACCTAAGCAGACCCATAACATAAACATGGCGAGAGGTCTCGTATCTCGTCTACACGCTGACTAAGTCTTTTGGTTTCAGTCGTAAGTGCACTACTCGCGGCGTGTTATCAGAATTACCACGTGATATAGAATGAAGTAAACATTGAAGTGTCAATCAAAGAACGCTCTTGTTGGTGGCAAAGGCCGCTTCCGGTCTTTGGTTGTGCTTCTGTGTTGATTACATTCGGTATTGAACTGTTAGCAGCGAATCGGAGCGAGCAAATATTGTCATAGTTGAATTTGAGACCTTAATGGTGTAATAGGGAGGTTTATTCAGGCATAGGCGTCGCGAGGGTACAAGCAGCAAGATATGTAGGACGACAGGATAACGCTATCAGCGTTGTCAACAAATCCTCCCCGACGCGACAACCAGCAAAACCTGTATTATTCCAAGACGATGGCCTTCGAACTATGTGTAACTTTTACTTTAATAACGTGTCTAATATTTCCACACACCGGACAAGAATCACTTCTCCTACAAATTAAAGTTGAATGATCGAATTCTCTCTTTCCAATACAAAACGAACACTTTGGTTTGGGCAAGGGGATCTCTGGCTGAAGGCCAACTGTATACACATTGTGGAGCCTTTTCTCGTTTTCCAACAAAATATGGATAGATATGTGATAAAAAAACATTAAATGGTATTACCTAACCTCAAAACAGCAT